GCAGCAGCAGCAGCAGCAGCGCCCGCAGCAGCAGCGCCCGCAGCAGCAGCTCGCGGACCGGAGGGGAGGAAGCCGCAGTAGGGCGTGGCGGCGGCGAGCCACAGCGAGGCGGCGGCGGGCTGCAGCGCGCGAGCTGCTGCTGCTGCTGCTGCTTCGGCGAAGAAGAAGTAGCCGTGGACCTGCACGCACTGGTTTGCTTCCTTCCAAATCTGCTGCAGGTCGTCCACTGCAACGCTCAGTTTGCTGCCCAGCGAAAAGATCCGCCGCAGGCTTTTGAGGCCGCCGACGCTGTCGCCGCGCGTGAAGACGCGGGGCCCGAAGAAGCGCAGCGCGGGGTCCAGCAGCCGCAGCGCCTGCAGCAGCAGCAGCAGCAGCAGCAGCAGCAGCAGCGTGGGGGGGGGCCCGCGGGGCGGCGGGCAGGGGCGGGCTGACTGTTTTCGCGTGCGTCGAAGTCCCCATCGTGTACAGGAACAGCTCGAAGTGGCGGGACATCTCCCTGAGCACACCCCAGCCCCACACCCCACCCCCAAACCCTAAACCCTAAACCCTAAACCCTCAGCCCTGCTCTGGAACGCACTCCACTGAGTCGAAACGGGCCAACCGGCGAGTTCCTTCCCGGAAGGACGCTTTTGACTTCTCTACTTGCTCGTGTTTGAATTAATTCAATTCATCAATTCGCCTTGTTAAACAGGCCCACCTTAGGAAAGAAATGCTGCCGGGCCTTAACTTAATGACGCTGCGGTGGTCTGCGCCCAAACAAATAAACGAAAGGAATTCCACCAACTCAAAGTTCAGCTAAATGTACAACCGCTTCATTCAATTCTCTAAAACAAACCAAACAACTAATTATTAATTTATTAATTAGTCAATTGATTACGAAGGAAACGCACAGGGAGGGCCCCAAGTGTCTCCTTCGTCAGCAGCCACTCGGCAGCAAATGACGGAAGACTCCAAAAGAGACACAATGCGAGCAGCAGCAGCATCTGTGCGGTAGTGCGGGTACTCCCTGCTGCTGCTGCTGCTGCTGCTGCAGGGGGGGAAGCAAACCTCCTCCCACGTCTGCTGCTGGGGAGCGCTGAAGCGCGACGAACTGCTGCCGTTGCTTCTGCTGCTCTTGCTGCTGCTGCTGCTGCTGCTGCTGCTGGGCTGTTCCCCTTGTGGGTTTCCGTCTGGCCCTCTCTCTGCCTCCGCATTTGTAGCCTCTCCAGGCGCTGCTGCGTCAGTTGCTGCTGCAGCAGCTCCTGTCGTCCCGTCTGCTGCTTCCTGCGCCTGCTGCTGGTGCTGCTGCTGCTGCTGCCTATCCGGCTTGGGGGCAAAGTCATCTAACAGAATTGTGGGGAGGCAGTCCACGGGGGGTGGCACCGAAGTCGCATGCAGCAAAGTGTTGTCTAAGTCTAACACCTGCAGCAGCAGCAGCAACAACAAACAGCAGCAGCAGCAAGAACAGTTGCAGCCCAAGCCACACAGTGCTAGGCAAGTGAAGATGCTGCTGCTGTTGCTGCGATGTAATGCAAAAGCAATGCAGCGTAGGAGTTTAATCTGCTGCTGACAACGTCGTCTTAGCAGCAGCAACAGCAGCAGCAGCAGCAGCAACAGCAGCAGCAACATTTACGAGACACAATTTTCTCCGGTTGATAAGGGAAATAACGCGCTCTCTCTCCAGCTTTTTGGCCATCTGCCCAGTAGACGCAAGAAGCAGCAAACCCTAAATCCTGAACGCTAAACCTAAAACCCTCGTTTGTGGAATTTGAATCCAGTTAAGCGAAAACAACACCAAAAGCGGGAAGAAAATGCAAAACGAAATGAAAAAGAAATGAAAATGGAACAGAAGCAAAGATGAAACAGGAACGGAAATGGAATGGAAAAGGAAGACGTTTTGCAAGTCAGGAATGAGTCTTGAAAAGAACAAAAACGGAAACGAAATCGAAGTCAGTTGAGAATGAAATTCGGGAAAGAACAAAGTGGGAGTGGAAATTAATACTAGAAATGGGAATGAAACGAAATGAAACAAATTTAGAAAGTAAAAGACGAAAACAAAGGCAGAATGAAGTGTTGGAAACACGGCTTGGGAAAGGAAATATAGATAAAAATGAAAAGAAGGTTCAAAAAACAGAAACAGCGTGGAAAAAAAAAACTCGAAAATGAATTCGGAAATGCCAGTGGAAATGAAATGAGACAATCAAAAGAAGAATCTGAAATGAAATGAGACATGATCTGAATTGAAATGAAACGAAACAGAATCTGAAATGGAATGAAATGAAAGCCGAAAATAAATAACATTAAATGGAATCTAAAGTAAGACGAAACAAAACCTGAAACAGAAAGGAATAAGGCCTCAAATAGAGCAAAGAAAGACCTTAAATAAACGAAATCAGGTTAACCAACACGAAACAGAAATTGAAATGAAACAAAACCTGAAATTGAATAGAACGAAACGCCAAATAAAACGAAAGAATATCAATCCAAACGAAAGGGAAATGAAATAAAACAAAAAGAAACTAAATAAAACAAAACACAGACAAAAGGAAGCAGCGCCAAAGTGGGAAAAACAAAAGCGAAACGAAGCAAATTGCTGGAATAAAAAAGTCTAAAACGGAAAAAACCAGAATGAGGAGTCCAAAGCGAGAAGAAAGAGAATTATGAAGAGAAGTCGAACAAACAACAAATACTGAAAGTGTAATGAAGAAAAAGGAAAAAGAAGAAGAACAAAAGAAGTAATAAAGAAGAAAAGTAAATGGGAGAGGAAGTCTGAAGACCAAAAGAAGAAAGAGGAACAAAAGTCAATACGATTTAATGTGTAGAGCAAGTAAAACAGAAAGAAAGAAGCAAAAGTGAACTCAGCAGAAGAAAGCAAACTGAACAGAAGCCAAAAAGCGCAGAATTAAAAAAGTGAAATCAAAGAAGGCGCAAGTGAACATGGACAGAAGCGCAGAATAAAAAAAGTGAACAAAGAAGAAGGCGAAACTGAATATGAATAAAGTGCAAAACTAAAGCAGCGAACAAAAAAGCAAAACCGACTATGAATAAAGTGCAGAATAAAAGAAGTGAACGCAGAAGAAAGCGAAACTGAATATGAATAAAGTGCAGAATAAAAGAAGTGAACGCAGAAGAAAGCGAAACTGAATATGAATAAAGTGCAGAATAAAAGAAGTGAACGCAGAAGAAAGCGAAACTGAATATGAATAAAGTGCAGAATAAAAGAAGTGAACGCAGAAGAAAGCGAAACTGAATATGAATAAAGTGCAGAATAAAAGAAGTGAACGCAGAAGAAAGCGAAACTGAATATGAATAAAGTGCAGAATAAAAGAAGTGAACGCAGAAGAAAGCGAAACTGAATATGAATAAAGTGCAGAATAAAAGAAGTGAACGCAGAAGAAAGCGAAACTGAATATGAATAAAGTGCAGAATAAAAGAAGTGAACGCAGAAGAAAGCGAAACTGAATATGAATAAAGTGCAGAATAAAAGAAGTGAACGCAGAAGAAAGCGAAACTGAATATGAATAAAGTGCAGAATAAAAGAAGTGAACGCAGAAGAAAGCGAAACTGAATATGAATAAAGTGCAGAATAAAAGAAGTGAACGCAGAAGAAAGCGAAACTGAATAGAATAAAG